CTACCGCTGCTACCAGTGAAACGCATGCACTCCAACCAAACAAAAGCGACCTGTGCCACCCTTACCCCTTTCCACCTCCAACAGGCAGCTTTGTGCTGCTCTTACGTAATACTCCGACTTATGTCTACCTATACTGGGTTGATCGAGCTCGCACGACCTCGTAAACGTAGAATTCCGACAAGTGCCAAGAAAATTAGCGAAGCGGACGTCCATCGCATGCACGGTAACTCAGTTTCGCTGGAACGTTGGAATAAATTCGCGTTTCGTCTTGCGCAAAGGAAAAGAATGCGCGATGCTTTCCCTCGGTGGGTATTTACCTCGTCGCGTCTCGTCTTTACGATTCGACGAGAAGACGGCGATTTTCGCGAGCGTTTGCGAGCCGTCGACGATTGGAAGAACCTCACAATGGCAAAGTCTCGTTTGTCTGGGTGGCGTTCACCTTTCACGGCGACACCCTTTTCTTTCTTTCTTATTTTCAAACGTCGCCACGGAAAACAACGCAGAAATCTTTCTTCTTCTTTTCCAATGCATCGCGACGTCGACGCATCGTTTGCATCCTCAACAATCCGACGAGTGGGCTGACGCGAAAGAACACGAATGGCCAGGGCCAGCCGCGCAGTCCCGCTACATTTTCTTCTTCCGCGTCATTATACCGCCTTCAGACAAAAAGTTTCGCCTGGCAGATTTTCTTTCCACGCGTCACCCCTTAAACGAACGAACGACCGTTTACTGGGGCAAAGTGAGCCACCATCCATAATTATTGTCACGCATACGAGGGGCCGCCGCGTAATATCCACGTCGCGCAAATTCGCCCGAGTTTATAACGGTGGAATGGAAATTATCGTCATTAATGACAGGCTGAAAGTGCGCGGCACCGGTATTCGTTTCGACCCGCAGCCTCCTCTTGACTTCTTGACGACGTGCGCGTAAAAGTACCAAGAAATCGTGACATGGCGGAGCGGCTTTTGCGGCGTTTATTATGTGGAATGTAGGGAGGACGAAGTGGCACATAATTTTTACGAAAGAGGAGTTTGACTCGATTCAGGGGATTCAATCCGTTTGCCTTTTACCTCTCATTTTCACGTGCGTTTGACGCCAACCCCGTCTCTCTTCGTCGGCCACGAGATATTCAATTCTTTGGCCGGATTTAGCCTTACTTCGGATTCCCTTTCTGTCTCGGTTACAGACCCGAGTCGAAAATGCACGCGGATGATTCTTTTCTCGGAGCTCACCGTTAACGAAACAATTTTACCTCCGCGGACACGACACGAGTTTCGCACAGATTCTCCGGCTGCGAAGCAACGGGATGACAACTGGACAATCTCCGTAACGAAACTCGTTTAAACGTACCGTGACTGGATGCACGACCGCGCGAATGCATTGTGTGCATAAACCGCGTGCACGAGCTTGAGGGAACGGGTGAATCGGAAACCGGCGAAGGATCGAAGAATCGGTTCGTAGTTAGTCGGACAGGTAACGAAACGAGCCCTAATAACGAGGCGCTCGGCGCGGAACATTTTCGCGAATAATTTTGCACGCAGGGACTAGGCAACGCGTTGGTTCCTCGCGCCGTCGTGACCCTCGAGCGTCGATTTTAATTGATTCCCGCCCTCAGGCGTTAACGAAGTCCACTTGATTTACACGCCAGCTGCATTTGCGCGGTATCGTTGGTGGTATACACGTAGCACAAGGGAATTGCAAGTGTTGGCGCCGGCGTTTCCAATCTCGTATTCTGCGTCCTAGCATAGCGCCATTCCGAGCAGCGGTTTTTACCTCGTGCCGGGGAAAAAGCCGCGCGATACTCTGCCGACCGTAAACACGAGAAAATTATCGTAAGCTCGGCTAAAAGGTGGCGGCGACGATGTAACGCCAGCTTTCTCGTTGTTTATGCCTTTTACTCGGTGCAAATGGCGGAGAAAAACATGGGCAACATAAAGTGGCGTCGTCTGTTCGTTAGCGGCCGAGTACAAATTTCCGATACAACTTTTCCTACTAGCTGAAGATAGTCGTTGACGCATTCGGAGTCTCGTCTCGGGATCGAGGCATGACGAAGGAGCAGCGTCGTTTTCGTAAATCGTTTCGAGATGGATCAACGAGAGAACGGTCCGGACGTGGACGAGTGCGAGGGTGTGGATCGATCGAAAATCGATCGCGTGGGCGTAGAACGAGATCGGAAAGAGCGGTACTGTTGATCGGGCGCTTGTCGTACAATGTTGCACGCAGCAAGCTGACCCAGGGTGAGAGAGGGAGCGAGTGAAACAATGGCCAGGTTGTGAGAAGGGGTACGATTCGCGGTCGTAGAAAGCAGAATAAAGGTGCCAGCTAATGTGATATATGGGATCGATTTGAATCCAGCGTTTAAGCCGCGAGCCATAATTCAATCTCAATCGTTTTCTTCTCTGTTCCTTCGTTTGACTGCTCTTTCTACTCGCTGCTCGCTCTCTTTCTTGCACTCGCTCGTGTAGTATACCCCAAGGGCACCTTCGATACTCGATATATACTTAGGTACATCCGAGCTACTCTCGTACTACCTGGTCGTGCATCTTATAATATATACGCATATCGCGAATCGTTGACTCCTTAAAGTCTCGTTCACACCGCGTTTTCGACGATGGAGATACATCGAGCCACGCTTTCCCTCCTACGCCAGGCTAAAAGATATCTTTTCATCGATTCCAGCTCTTCTCCACGCTCCGATTTATCATCTGGCGCAACGTGCGATCGAATCGAACGATCTTCCCGGTGAAATTCAATCGGGCAGCGTTTCGAATTACCCGCGACGAAACGAACGTTGAACCACGCGTATTTTGACCGCGTCGTGAAAATTAATTTAGAATTCACAGAGGGTAGTGATAAGATGCACGTTTGGAGAGGCGTTACACGCTCGGTGACGCTCGAGTCTCGTATCGCACACGCATTCGCTTTTATGCAGGAATGTACGTGTAAGAACGCGTGTCGAGTTGTCTGGGTTGGGGCATATAAGAGACGAAGAGCCGACGACATTGAGAGAGGGACTCCGAGGGTAGTCTGTCAGGGTCCCGAAATAAGGTAATTAATATTAATGCAGATGGCTCGCTGATGGAGCGTAAAATTCGGACAGATTCGAATCCGTTTCATTTCGTTTGATTAAAAATTCCTGCGCTTTCAAATTTATCTCGCCGCCAAGCCGCGTTTCGATTGCTACATCTTTCGGAGCATTTCGGTGCATATTATATTAAGGTCATATATCGCAACCGAGTCGAATAACTGGTTTCTTTTGTATACGCGTATTTATTATCGAGAAATCGAGATACGATACCGGAATTTATTAAATTCGCCGTGCCGTTTCGCATATCCCAGAAAAACGCTCGATACCACTGCGTCGTAGTTTAAATGTTTCCCGCTTAAAATTCAATATGCTCTTGCCACTTACCTCTTACGTACGGTGCCCGTTCGAAGTGCCGCGTGCAGCCTCTTAATAAGCGGAAAAAGTTACTGCCACGACGCTTCGGTGACCGCGAGTCACGCAGAAAACTCGGAACGTCCCGTACGATTGCAGCGGCGTACAACGACGGTAATCAAGCTAATAATAAACGAGGTAAAAGAACGAAATCTCTCCTTCTGTTTATAGGAATATCATCGTATCCAAGGACAATGTCCAGGTACGTACCGATTCTCCGTACGCTGTTTACACTGACCGGAGTAGGGATCGACTCTCGCGGCAGTGGTACAGGGGATTTCGAGTCCGAGAGAAGGAGAAAAAGGACGAGTCGACGAGCGGAAAGGAGAAGGCGAAAGTTAGTGGGGGAGAAAGAGAGAGAGAGAACGAGAAAGGGACATGGGGTCCCGTATACGTTCGTTTCTGCAGAAGAAGATGAGGAGAGGGCGGGGGGGCATCGGTACGGGAACCGCGCGGGCAGTGCACGCGCAGCCGCCGGGACGCGCGCATCCCGTGTGCATTCGCGCTCTTCCAACACCGCAGGAGGAGCCCGCGAAATCTCGATTAACACGGCACTGTGCAACGTGCCTCGCGACTGTGGTGATCACCACACGATATACCGCTGTCCTGGCTCACCACCAACGTTTCTCTACATTCGTCGAGTTTTCTTTCGTTACCGACGCGTCGCCGCGAGAATGAGGAGACGAACGATTCGCCAGAGCGATCGCAGCGACGCGAAGTTGACAGCGGCGTTCGAGACCGGCCGGTACTCGACCAACTTCTCGAAAGTCGAACGCGATAATCGCGAGGTGACCGCAGTGACCGTTTAACGAAGCGTGAAATACGTAGAATCCCTCGAAGCCAGGCTGTTCTCGACGACGCGAGGTTATGACGCGATTACTTTTCGTTCGCTGTGAAAGGTAAACAAAAGCGAGGAAGCGCGTCACTGCTGCGCATTCTTTCGAAGGACGTTCAGTGTACGGCTCGACAGCGGTGAATTCGGTCGTGTCCGAACGTGTCGCGCGCGCATCATCGTGAAAGTATCCTTCGTGCGTTTCGTCGAGTATCGTTCCTTTACCACGTGCTTTTCGTTACGCGTTGCATCGAGCCGAGAGAAAGGAATAAAGAGAAAGAGAGAGTCGCGTTATTTCGGGCACGGATAATCGTGGCGAGTGAATAATACGCGAGTGTCACGCGGCATTTCGTCGTCGAAACGTCGTCGTCCGTTGTAAGCAACCTAACCTATCGTTTTCGCGCGAAGAAGCTCGCGATTACATCGTTTCGGGTGCGAGGAATTTTCGTAGAATTCGCGATCGCGAATTTGAGAATACGCCAGTGGAACCGGTTATATCGTGGGAGCCGCGGCGAAGGGCCGGTTTCGATAGAAGGGAGAAATCGGCAGGAAATATTGCCGAGCGTTCGTGTCGACGATCGTTGGTCGTTTTGGCGCGGCAATGGCGCGGAAGGGGGCGCAACAGGAATTCGACGGTTGTGTATGAAATGTGACGGCAAAGTGCGATCGAACAGGTGCATCGAACGAAGCCCTCGGACGACGATGAAGCATCGGAGAGTGACCTTACTTCGCAACGAATAGCTGCATTCCGCGTGCCTACGAACGGTGAGTTTTTATTCCTAATATCTGCTCCAATAATATAAAACGGTTCGTCGGTGACTCGATATCGCGTTCCCTCGGGTCTCTTGGCCCGTCGATACGCAGTTGGTGGCTCAAGGTTATATTTACAATCGCGAACATTGCCACGAAGGATCTCGTTTACCGATTCGTCCCGTCCCGTGTTCCAAGAATTTTCGTATCCACGCGGAGCTGTATATTTACAATCTCGCGTATGAAGAAATACAGGCGTAGATTTTTCCGGGTCAACGATTCTCATACGTCTCGTATAGCGCGTTTGCAAAAGGACACGGCTCGTAATTGTCGCCGTAAGATTTACGGTCGTTTAACCTCCTAGCAAAGTATATATTATTGGAAGGGATAGTTGCGACACTTAGCGCCGTCTTTGAAAGTGCAGCCACTCGACGAGAGTATCGCGCGGGTGAGCATCCGTTGCCTCGTCCTCGTACACTCGCTATCTTCGCGCTTGCCTCTCTTCTTTCACCACCTACTCCTCCGCTCTCCGTCTCTCTCCGTCCTCTCTGTCGTTGCCGCCCACCGATCGGTCGTCGTTTTTTCTTCTCGGAAGGGACTCGCCGAGTAGCGAGAATTAACGTCGAGTGCGCAAGGGATTTCGAATCAGTAGCTATTTCCGCTATTGTCGCGGTGGCGTGTGTGCGCTCGCTCGCGCGCGCGCGCGCCCGCGTTCCGACCCCTCGTCGTATCCTGCACGCCGTAACATGTCTCGAACGCGATTTTTACGTCGAGATACATCGGGAACAATACCGGCGGGGCGGTGGTTCATATCCAAGGATGTAATTATTCGACGATAGAGACTAATAGAGCGAACCGGTACGCACGGTGGGAACCACAAAGGAACAAAAACACCGGGGGAAATCCGCTGGAAGACTCGTGCATCGCGATACACGGTGTACTGTCGCGCCCCTTTAGGGAAAGGTCTGGCACTCTAATTTCACCGAGGTACGGCCTCCTCCGTCGTCCACCTCCGAGTCGGTTTTCGCGGTCTCCGCGTTGGTCGACGGAAGGAAGGCCTCTCGCGAACAGAGAACTCTTCAACGACGCTGTAGTCTGTGCACGCGATGGGAAACGGCCGTGTATGCAAGACGAAGCCGAGAGTCGAATAGCTTGTCCCTCGTTCGCTTCCTCTTCCTCCGGCCTAGTTCGGCCCGTCGAGAGATAAGCGCGTAAGAGATGAGAGGGCAAGAAATACAGAATTCCCAGTTCGCGTGTTCGCAGACGAGAAAGGCTGAAAGGGAACGGCGAGACGCCGCGGCATTGGCAGTCGTTAGGTTCTTCGGGGGGAAATCGGGGGTAAGGAACCGGAAATTGGCGAATATCGGGAATATCGATACGACACCGATGTTTGGCGATCCGGTGGCATGAATGAATAAGCTTAGACGGTGGTTACATGACCGTTTAACCAAACGGGGGACGGGGGCGCGGCGCTTGTCTTTCGCCCCCGAGTCCGAACTCTATTACGTATAAAACAATATTGGCACGGTCGCGTCAATGGCACCGATGTTTATAACTAATTACCGACGGCGAAAGGGAGAGCCAGGGAAACGCAAACGGATGGGACGGAGAGGAGAGACGGTCGTTTGAATAACATTCGCCTGAACTAGGTAGACAGACAGAATGGAGGAGAAAGAGCGAGAGAGAGAGGGTGAATTAGATGAGGAGGAGGGGCGGCGAAGGGGAGTTTCATTTTGAACGAGGAGCATTCTCTGCGCTCGTCCGAGCTCGATCTAAACGGGCAATATTAGCTATTGACTTTGGCTCATGGGGTTTGTCGATGGTCGGCTAAGTGATGGCATTGGTTCGGACCGTTTGGTACAGGGAAAATTTCCATCCCGTCTCGTCTCCGCGATTGATCGCGATTATACTACCGGCTGGGCGAATTCCGCTAATTTTTCTCGTCGACGAAACCACCTGGCACACCGTAGCACGTCGACGAGGTGAGCCACGACGAGCACGGTTTCTCGCTCTTTCCGCGTTGCTTTTCCCACCCACGGTATTCGATTCGGTTCAGC